GCCGCACCGGCAGCATCACGGGCAGCACGTAGGCCCGCCAGGGCGTCAGCACCTAAGCAGGGGGACACTGGTGTGACAAGGAACTGAGGTGACATGGGACCCACCCCTGTCCCCTGCTGCGGCCCTGAAACGGCTGCCTGGGGAAACTGGGAGAGCCAGAACCAGGCCGGGCGCCACACGTACCAAGATGAAGTCGTCATACTGGGCTTTCACCTGCAGCTGGACACTCATCACCAGCAGGACCTTCTTTGTCCCCAGGAAGGCGGTGATGCCCTCTGAAAAGACCAATATCCGCATGAAGTGAGGTGGCTGAAGGCACCCCTGGTCCTCTCCCACCTGCCCTGCTGCCTCGGGGATGCTGTCGCTGCTGTCCCCGCCTGAATCAACTCCTCTCTACCCACACCTGACGGGCAGACCCTGGTTGCTCTAAGTCACACACTTCTTTACCAGCTTTAGGTCTCGTTTGCCGCTTGGGTGCTAAATCCATCCCAGCGTCTTCTGCAGCCTTGGCCAAACACAGGGCTTTGGGGCCACCGGTCTGCCCTCTGCAAACAGACTGCTCAGCTTTGGGGGCTTTTTTCTAGGGACTGCTTCCAGTTTTATCGGGACAGCTGTCATTTTAGTCTAAGGCAAAATATTTTGCCTCTCTAGGCCAGGCTTATGCAGCACAAGCTTCGGAATAGCCTTGCTCACCGGGAGCTGGCATTGAGCAACAGCTGGGTCCTGGTTTCTCTTCCTTCCCTCCCTCCCAAATTTACCACTGGGGAGCAACTCGGTACCCAAGTCCTCCCTCCCCACAGTGCAGACAGGGATGTAGTCATGTTTTGCATTTTTTGGGGGGAATTGTCTCAGCCATGATGCACGGGGTGGTCGTGCACACCAACCTCCCCGCATTTGCAAACCAGCCACTCCGACAGCCGCCACGGACCAGCGTGAGCATCACTCCTGCCTGCTGCTTCCTACCTTGAGCATCGCCTCCCCACCTCTTCTGATTCACACCTCTCGCTCAGAAAAGCGGGACGAGAACCACAACTGCCCATCGCCATGCAAATCAAACCAGGTTTTCATGACGACACAGAGCCCCACGGGTCCAGCGGTTTGAGCCAAACATCCTCAAGGACCCATCTGAGTAGAACCAGGACCTGGGGCTGCAGGGACGCAGCTACCCGGCTCCCTCCCACCCCACTGCAAGCCTCGGTGGGGCTGATGAGGACCCCGAGATCTCCACAGCCTTTTGCTTTTTCAATGAAATAAGGAGAGGCTGGGAGCTGCACGCTGCTGGGGAGCTGGGGCAGGGTGTGCCTCCCGGGGATCCCAAGCCCGCGAGAGCGAGC